GCCTTAAGTTGCAATATTGAAAGATTCTCTGGGCAAAATATTGAATGACGCAGGAAGCATCAAAAGATGGAGAGAATACACAGAGTCACTGAATCAAATAGAACTGGTTGACATTCAACTATTTCTTTTTTTTTTTTTAAAGAATGCACCAAACACATCAGTATTTATTATTTTTTATGCAAATGACAAAGATCCATTTTATCAGCTTTGCTTTTAAACCTAACATATTTAAACAATGTTCAAAACTTGCTAAGCTGCCAGCATTCATGCACAACTAGAAAACATCCTTAATTTATAGTAAACCAGAAATGTATTACCATTAAAGTATTATTATCTTTCGCTACTCAATACTGGGGAGAAAAACGAAATTATTTTTGTCGTAGATTCATCCTGGCAATGTTAACTTCACAGCAGACTGAAACTACTTGGCTCACATTTCAAACAAAATGGAAAAAAAGCAGGATCCATGCTAGTGTTAGTATACAACTTATTAAGTTTAATAATAATAATAATAATAAAAAGCAAAGTGCATACAGAAATTTACAACAATTTTAAAGACCAAAAAAATGGTCCTATTAATGTGGTCCCAACAATAAACTCAAAAGTCTATGACAAATAGGTGCTCCGATGAGCTGTTTATAAATACTTTAGATTAGGTACAGCTATACTGAAAGTAGAGTTCATTTGAACTCTTCACAAAACGTTCCTGTTTATCCTGTTTATATGGTGCTTGTAAGAGTTTAACATTTCTGTTAAATGCGTGCGTTGAATTACTTGTTATCCAAGTGTAGCAGCTGCTCCTTACCATTTATAGTTAAGGACTTTAACTGGCCATCTTCTTCAACTTCTACTGTTTCTTGACCATTCTCAACAATTCTCTTTGTTGTGATTTTTCTGCCATTAATTATTTTAGAAGAAGTCGATATAGATTTGAAGTTGCCCATGCCACTACCACCAAATGATGTAGAAGAGAATGAAGTAAGGCCACCATGACCCAATGAACCAAATGATGTCAATCCTGTATCAAAAGCAGGAAATCCACTTCCAGAAGATGGAAACCCACGGAAGGGAGAGGAAAAGGATCCTGCACCTCGGGCTCAGCTTCTGCGAGGGCCTTTGCGATTCCCAAAGAAGTTCTCAAATGGGTCTTCAAAGAAGTCAAACGGGTCCCTTCCACCAAAAATCCCCTGAAGACATCATCTGGATGACGGAATGTGAAACCAAACTCAAATGGACTGTCAAAATGGCTTCCACCTGCACCTCCACCGTTTAATCCTTCTTTGCCATATTTGTCACAGATGTCCCGTTTTTTAGCATCTGATAACACCTCATATGCCTCAGCTACTTGTTTGAATTTCCTCTCTGCTTCCTCCTTATTCTCAGGATTTTTATTAGGATGCCACTTCAGTGCCAACTTACAATATGCTTTTTTAATATCCTCGGGTGAAGCACGTCTCTGCACACCTAGAACTTCATAGTAATCCACCATGTTTTAACAGATTGTTGGAACAAGTCCTCAGCCCCGCTTGGTGGTCCACGAGGAGGGGGGGAGGGAAGGAGGACAAGGGGAAAGGGAACAGAGGAGGAGAGGAGAGGGGGAAGAGAGGAGAGGGAGGAAGAGACCAGTGAGGAAGAGAGAGTGACATTCAACTATTTCAAGAGGCAACATATGAGTTGTACCAATGGCACTGAAGGAAGAAGTTCAAGCTACACTGAAAGCATTAGTCAAAAGCAAGGCTCCAGGAATTGATGGAATACCAATGAAAATGTTACAACAAACTGATGAAATCATAGAAACACTCACTGAACTATGCCAAGAAATTTGGAAGTCAGCTACTTGGACTGGAAGAGATCCATATGTGTACCCATGTCAAAAAAGGTGATCCAAAAAAATGCTCAAATTATAGAACAATTAATATCCCATGCGAGTAAACCTTTGCTGAAGCTCATCCAACAACAGATCGAGCAGTACATTGATAGGGAGCTGCCAGAGGTTCAGGTCAGATTCAGAAGAGGATGGGTGTGTTAGTCTGGGTAGACTAGAGAAACAAATCCATAGAAACTCATACATGTATGAGAGAGTTTTCTATAAAGGGTAATTGTACATTAGGAGAGCATCCCAACCCAGTCCAGCCCAAGTCTGTTATTAGCCCATATGTCCGATATCAATCTATAAAGTCCTCTTCTGACTCATGAAACACATGCAATAATACCAAATGCAGGAAGATCACAGGCCAGAGGGTTGGAAGTCTTCTGGATCCAGTGGCATTGTAAGCATCTCAGGACTGGCAAGGGTTTCTACGTGGTTCCTTTAGCTTCGAAACTCTGACTCCCTCAGGGTAGCTCCATGTGGCTTCTCCTCAGAAATGTCTCACAGGGATTGAGCAGAGAGGGTCTCTGCCTCCAAGGAGGAAATTCAGGAGTTCTTAGAATTCTCAGGAGAAGGCCATGACCTCACAGAGGCCTCATTGGCTGTGATCCAATTAACAGACTAGACTCCACCCCTTAACTCTTAAGCCTATCAAGTCCCAATTGACACCAGATTGATTATGTAACTACCACAAAGTGGAACAGGGAATATCATTGCTGATGTCTGATGGATCTTGGCTGAAAGCAGAGAATCCCAGAAAGATGTTTACTTGTAATTTATTGATTATGTCAAGGCATTTGACTATGGGACCATAACAAACTTTGGACAGCCTTGAGAAAATGGGAATCCCAGAACACTTCATTGTCCTCATGTGGAACCCATAACTGGATCAAGAGGCAGCTGTGAGACCAGATCATGGGCATACTACATGGTTTGAAACCAGGAAAGGTGTGCATCAGGGTTGTATCCTCTCGCCATACCTATTCAATACGAATGCTGAGCGAATAGTCAAATAGGCTGGGTTACGTGAAGAAAGATGTGGCGTCAGGATTGAGAGAGGGTTTATTCACAACCTGTGCTATGCAGGTGACACAAACTTGTTTGCTGACAGTGAGGAGGAATGAAGCACTTGCTCATGAAGATTGCAGCCTTCAGTATGGGTTACAGCTCAACATAAAGAAGACCCAAATCCTCACAACTGGACCAATAAGTAACATAATGATAAATGTAGAAAAGATTGAAGCTGTCAAGAATTTTGTCTTGCTTGGATCCACAATCAATGTTCATGGAAGCAGCAGTCGAAAAGCTATCAAAGGACACACTGCTCTTGGTAAATCTGCTGCACAAGATCTCTTTAGAGTTTTGAAAAGCAAGGATGTTACTTTGAGAAGTAAGGTGCACCTAACCCAAGCCACGGTATTTTCCATGGCCTCATATGCGTGTGAAACTTGGGCATTGAATAAGGAAGACTGAAGGAGAATCCATGCATTTGAATTGTGGTGTTGGTGAAGTACATTGAAAGTACCATGGAAGAACAAACCAATCTGTCTCTGAAGAAGTACATCCAGAATGCTCCTGAGAGGCAAGGATGGGAGACTTCATCTCAATATGCTGGATATGTTTTGTAGGAGAGAACAGTCCTTGAAGGAGAACAACATGTATGGAAAAGTTAGCAGGTAGTAAAAAAGAGTCAGAACAGACTCAATGGCACCTAACAACAGCATTAAACCCTAAACAAAAACAGGATCGGTAAAGAGACACTAACGTGTAGTGGTTGAGAATACAGACTGAAATTCCTGATTACGTGTTGAGTTAGTTAATTGTGCCAATCTGGCCGAAAATCACATGTGGGGCTAATTGAAAGGCAGAGGAATAAAATGGGTGGTGAGCCTCGCCTTTCTAGTTCTCAGGTCTCTTGCTTTGGGATGGTTGCACCAGGGTGCAGCTGCCTTAGCAGTTCCCTGCTTCAGCTTGCAAGATTGACGTCCTACAAGACATCCCCAAGGAGAAGCCACATGGACCTATCCCGATGCAGCCCTGGGTGCTGGAGCAGCCATGGGAAGACCCCTGCTAGTGCTGAGATGCTTATTCGTTCACTGACTCAGCTTTCCTCCTGCAGTCGGCATCATTGCCTCTGTTTTGTGAGGTGGAGGACTTTGTGGACTGGTGTTGGGTTAATGGGTTAATGTTGGACTTGTGGGCTTGGGCAGCATTGGGTTGGGATGTTTTCGTGATGCACACTTTCTTTACATAAAACTCTCTTATACATGAGTCGCTGTGGATTTGTTTCTCTAAAGTACCTAGACTAATACACATGTGTTTACATTTTCCATATTGCCTCTGTGACCTCAGCAAATAATTATCTTCTCATACCTAATGTTCTCACCTGAATGGAGATGACTATCTTTCTTGTAGAATGATTGAGAAGATTAATCACTCATGTAAAATGCTCAAAACAGTGCCTGGGTACACACAAATGTATGTAGTTATATGTACATATACATGGAAAACTCATGTGTGTTAACTATGAATTTTTAGTGTTATTTTGGTGAGAGGAGAATAAGAGGCTTCCTGGGGTATTCACATATCCTTTCTAGGATATTCATTCAACGCTAAATGTCAAGTTCTTAGATTTTAACCTTCAATCAGCAGGTAGAAACCAGTATATCTGTTATAAGACAGAGAATGTGAGTTTTAAATAAACTTTGTGAATCCAAACCACACTATATAAATTGGACAAGTTCCTTTGGTTATTAGAGAAACTCAGATCCCTGTGTCCAGCTTTGATTCTCCTTGTAGCTGGAATGGAAAGCAGTATTGAGCACAAATACTACTGATTTCTTGAACAATGTGTCTGTTGTATATAATCCAGAATTCAAATGCTGCTTCTTGGATATTGAAGAAAAAAGAAAATTGCAAGAAGAGCCCACTCCCTCCACAAAAAAAAATCTAAAGGACACAGCAGAATGAGAGAACGTATGATTAAATGGAGGGCTCCATTTCGAACCTACTAAAATGAACTTAAACCATTCCTTTGGCAACAGAGAACAAAAATGTAGCTGGTTTCTCAACATAAGAGCTCTGAACTTGATAGTAGAAAAAGCCAGTGTCTTGAGGTAAGTCACCTTACCTAATGAGATGAAGTTGCTATAGTTCTCCCACATCACATCCCTGTACAAGTCTCTCTGAGCAGGCTCCAGGCACTCCCACTCCTCCTGGGAGAAGTCTATGGCTACATCCCTGAATGTCACTGAATCCTGAAAAAATAAACACGTGTTCTGGGTGAAAAGAAATGAATTATTCTTAAAGGAGAAAGAGTAGATAGTAGAACCAGCATCGTGGGGAGGGGCAGCAGACAGCAAGCAGATAGCAAGGCTCAGACTAAAAAGGCACGACATAACTCCTGAAAACCCCACTGCCATCGGGGCCATTCCTACTCATCGTGACCCTCTCCGTGGTCTCTGAGGCTGTCGATCTTTATGTGGAGTGCCAATCTCCTGGTTAGTAGTCCAAGGCTTACTCAGCATTACCATCAGGGTTCCATGACTGGAGTAGAAGAGATTAAATTAAATCCTTGCACAGCATGGAATAACGTATCCAAATAGTCCGGAAATGAATAAAATAATCCAAGAATCTCAATTAAATGCAATAATATACATAAGCCTACTGTATGCTATGTGCCTCCGTCATTTCTTCTTTTTTTCCACCCCTCCCCCCATCATAACTTCTTCAGAAGCGTGAAGTCCAAATCACTCTCAAAGAATAAAAAAGAGGTGTGATGTCTTCCATCCTCTTTTCCCTTCAGTGATAGTTTTTTTTAATAAACATTTCTCCAAAATGTAAAACAAATCTCTAAGAAAAGAATATTTTTTACAAAAAAGAATATTTTAATAAAATTAAATAACTTCAAGACTCATGTCAGATTTTATATACATTTCCCCTTTTATAGGAAATTGTTTTAAAAACAAAAATTTTTGCTACACAGTTCACATTTTAAAAATATTGGGATGTACCTTTAAATATTTCAGATGTCTTAAATCAGTATAATCTCAAAAGTCTTCCCCAAATTCTCAAGAGCTCCAATCATCTAACGTGTATCTGGATGATTTTACTCTTTACATCCATCATCCCTCCCTGAACACCATTCCTTATCCTCAAATTAGAGGATTATGAATTGTGACAATACTGTAAACACATAACCACAAGCCAGTGGTTTGGAATGAAGAGTAATCAGCTCCCCAGGTGATATTTGGAAGTCTACAAACAATTTTGGTTCTTACAACTGGAAAGGAGTACTAGTCAACATTTGTAAAAAACAACGTGGGGTGGCATCTGTCCTACTTCTAAATTCACAATGGGGGAAAGAAGAATCAAGATATCAATATCAGTCACCCAAAACCGATACCTATGAGATAGTGGTCCATCCTTTGTATAAATTCTGACACTACTTGTCTCTCCCACAGTACTCTCTACTTCTCTTGTGGGCTTTATAATCTGCTGCAATAAAACTCATCGACCATATCAAACTCATAGATCACACTTATTAGGGATGGGATTTACTAGGGAAGTAACAGTTTACAATTCAGGCTCAGGAATTCCTCATCATACAGTTCTTCAATCAGGACAGCCTCCTCTCAGCTATGCCCACAAACATGTGTCTTTCTAGCCCTTGGTCTGGCCAATTTGCCTGCTTACTCAAGGGTGGCAATGCTCTTCCAGTAAGCGCTCAGGAGGAGCCCACGCCACAAGCAAGCCTTCTCCTGCCTGAAGGCACTCAGCTCTCTAGTTAGGTGGTTGGGCAAGTCTAATTGCATCATTAAGTGCCCAAATGCATCCTTAAGAACACATCAGTAAGTCTCCTGACCAAAGACACTCAGCATTCTCACTCTATGGGGCCCAAAACCTACTGCAACATCTCCTGCTGGTCCTGGTTCTGTTGCTACCACTTCTTTACAGCTGCTTGTTGCTGTCTAGCACTTTCTCTGGTATCACCGCTCTCTATCTCCTGCATGCATAAGGCTCAGCATGGGTATCTTAGGTCCTAAGAACACACTCTACTCCTAGGTCTTCTTGATGTAAGTAAGATCATCCTTCTTATCTTTGGGGTGATTCATTTTAATGCCAGGTGGGATGGTAAAATCAACCAATCTCCTATAAGGGATCTATATACATTATTTGCATGGTTCCATCCTCACAAGGGTGACATACCCCTTATTTACATGATTAGAAAACTATCCAATTCCCTGGTCAGCCACAAGCACCTCACATTAGCAGAGTCCTACCCAGTCATTTGATGGGAGTTACATACTGTGGCTAGAAGAGCCGATCAAATAATGCTAATATGTCAATACTAATCCTGTAGCCACATAACACTGTAGCATCTAATACACAGAGGCCAGGAACACTGCCAAACATGTTATCCCTCACAATAAATGACCACCTGGTCCAAAATATCAGTAGTGCTACGGTTGAGAAATGCTGACCTAGACCAGCACATTCTATAAAACTACATGATATGGATCTTGTTCATGGTATTCTTTCACAGTGTTCCAGAGATGATCCTTGATCTTTTCATTATATCCCTACCCAGTGCTCAAAGCCTTACGAAGCATAAGATCTTAATAAGAGGAAATGAGACCAGTCGACACTAATGCCTATATTATCTACTGTCTGTGGGGGAAGTTTAAGGTGCTTAAAGTCAAACAGGTCTAAAATTTTCAAGAAAAGCTCAAAACAGGAACTTCCTAATCATCTATTCAGATAGTCTAGCACTATATTATCAACCAGGGAACTATATCCTCATGATCAGAAAAGTATAATGTATTATATGTCAATACTAATCTTCTAGCCAAAATCACAACTTTCCCCCATATGCATAGGAGTAACTTCTGGCCAGAAGAAATACATGTCTTTGGCTTCATGATTTTCATCTAGTGAAATATTTTTCCTTATGTGCTTTATTTCTTTCTACATATTTTTCTTCAATATTTTCCCCAATTGCTTAGGAACTCAATTCATACTACACAATAAGAGCTACATATATAGAAATGAATCTCTAACAGGAACCGAGCAGCAGAAAAGGCTCACACGTGGTATGAGATCTGATGCTTCTTCCTTGGCTATCAGCAGAGCCTACTGCATAGTCCAAGACATCTGCGGATGATTCTGATAGTCTAGTAATTTTATTGGGAATAAAATGCGATGCTTCCTGTACATTTTCTTTTGTTAAAAGATGTTGTATTCCCTTTATATAAAGTTCTAAAAATATGCAAAATTAACCTATGATGTTGACATATAGCCAGAATAATGATTACATTTGGGCTCAGGGAGTGGGGGTGTGGGAATGAGTAAAGGAAGAACATCTAGGGTGCTGGTAATGTTCTAATTCTTGTCATGAGGGCTTTTAGCACAGATGTTTATAAGACTTCATTTAATGGAATCCTTATGATTTGTGTATTTTTCTATATGCATGTTGTACTTCAATTTAAAAGTTCCAAAAATGTCAGAGCACATATTGGAAATAAAAATTTTTCCTACGTAACACTAGAACAAATAACAATGTTCTGGGAGAAATATATGCGTACTCTTTCTTAGGTATTAAAATCAAAAGGTGTCCTACTGGAAAATACTAATGGGAAAAAATACTACATGTCATGCCTACATTTTTCTCAATATATTTTATTCTTGCTCCCTTATTGATCTCAGCAAAAGATTTAATAGCTAGTGTGAAGAAGATAATAGCTTATAGCAAGGACACCAGTCTGTTTAGTCCAAACCCTCATAGGAATGAGGGGAACTGAGAAAAAGGTTCTTACATGGAGCTCTGCTAAGTAAGAAGTTTCAGGATAAGGAATGAGTATACATGACCTAGAAATTGTCTTTTTTTTTTTTTTTAAACCACCAACTTACATGGGCCATGGTTATGAGCTCAGAAGTGGTCAGTCCTTTTCAAGATTTCTCTGTTGGTTCATCGCAGAGTCCAGAGCAGCTGGAGCTGGAGGAAGACAAAGAAATCACAAAACCACCTGAACCTGACTGCTAGTGGCTGTCAAGTTGATCCTCTTGACCTCAAGTTGAGTCCAATTCATTGCCACCAAAGAGGACGGGGCAGACCTGCACCTGTGGGCTCCAAGACTGGAGTCTTGACAGAAGTCGAAAGAAAGCCTCGGCTTTCTCCCAAGAGGGGCTGGAAGTTTCTAACTGATAAGCTTGTGGTTAGCAGCCCAACATGCAACCCACTCTGTTACCAGGGTTCCTCTCCTGCACTGCAAAGCTCCCAAAATAATTTAGAGGAGGGACGGTCAAAAGTATTGCTTGAAAACCACTGAAAATGTTAAACAAAAATTTCCATGAAGTTATTGTTTCTTGACATATCCTTCATCAAGGTCTACACACATCTAAAGAGGTGTTTCCATCTCGCTAACCCTCCCCGAAGAAATCTGTGCTTTGCCATTTACCACATGCCAAAATGGCAGTTTTGATATGCTCAATGGACTCAAAACGGTATGCCTTTTAAATGATCTTTGAATTTGGGGAACAAAGTTCAGTTTCAAGAGGTAAGACCAGGGCCGTAGAGTGGAGGGGCTAAAGTTTCCCAATGAAATACACATAAGACAGCCTTTAGAGTCCTGGAAGAATGAGCAGATGGTGTTGATGCGATAGAATAAACTCCTCACACAACTCTCCTTTTCCTACCAATGCCGTTTTCAGCCTTCTTCCTTCTTCAGCCTTGACCATCCGGGTCCTTTCAGCAAGTTCATCAAGACGACCCCCGTGGGATTTCCCCAAATCGTCATCATAACCCCTGAGCTGACCTGCATGACTGGAAATGTCATCTTTGAGGACTGCCCACCCAATATTCCTTCAAACACTTCACCCATCTAAAAACTGTGATTTTATGTTGGGCTACATTCCTGAAGACTTGGTGCAAAGCTTCAGTGATTTGAGAAGATGTCCATTGGAGGTTTTTTGAAATTTTAGTGTTAGTTCTAACCTCAGAAGAATTTTTTTCCCAATGGCACAAAACATTGGGTTTTTTTTTTTGGGGGGGGGGTTTGGTCTTTTAAATTAAATAATTATTTTCTTAGGGGCTCATACAACTCATCACAATCTGTACATACATCATTTGTGTGCAGCACATTAGCACATACGTTGACTTCATCATTCTTACGACACCCGCCCTCCACTTGAGCCCTTGGTGTCAGCTCATTTTCCCCCCTCCCTTCCTGTTTTCCCCTCCCTCATGAACCCTTGATAATTTATAAATTATTATTATTTTATCAATCTTACCCCATCCAACATCTCCCTCACCCACTTCTCTGCTGTCCGTCCCCCAGGGAGGAGGCCACATGTAGACCTTGTCATCTGTTCCCCCTTTCTCCCTCTCCTTCCCTCCATTGTTTTGTTTTGAAGACACCCTAAGGCAGGGGTCCTCAAACTTTTAAAACAGGGGGCCAGTTCACTGTCCCTCAGATCCATTGGAGGGCCGGACTATAGTTTTAAGAAAAAGTATGAACAAATTCCTATGCACACTGCACATATCTTATTTTGAAGTAAAAAAACAAGTGGGGCAAAAACACCCAGCAGGCTGGATAAATGTCCTCAGCGGGCCGCAGGTGGCCCGCGGGCCATAGTAAGAGGACGCCTGCCCTAAGGAGACTAAGACAAATATTTTACTCAGAGATTTTGCCAACAGACATTCACTGATAGCAAGGGCATGTATGAACATATTTGGTTTGGAATAAACCTTTTTTTTGTAACGTGTATGAACTAATAATAATGTTTTTTTACTGACTTTCATATTAATGAGTTTTTTCCTCTGCTAGTCCTTCTTGCCAACCACACTTCCCACTAACCCCATCCTCATCCCATACCCAGACAAACTGGAAGAGGGTAAAGTGAGTCCGAAAAAAAGCCAGTTCTCCCCAACCTTAAGAAAGCCAAGCTGAACGATGACAGACTTGGTGCACGTGGAAGCCCAAGTACTTCAGCAGATTTTCAAAAGACGTCCCCATCAGGCAATGTAGATCTGTTCCTCTCACTGGAGAACAGACTATTTCTCTCAGCAACTTTCTTGGCCCCCATTAGAACTTTCCATAGCTGAGAAAGGGACCACCCCATCTACACAGAGCCTCCTTGGAGCCCCCAGGATCCTGTCTAAATTTTCCCAGCACAGAAAGTGAAAACCACACCGTGCCTGACAGCTACTACAAAGTCATGATGTTCTCAATCACCTCAGGTGCATAAGAAATCTGGACGATGGGTAAGGAAGATATAAGAACGGATGCATTTGCATGATGGTGTTGGGTAAGAATACTGAAGAGCCCACAAACTGCCAGAACAAACCCTTCTGTCTTCAAGAAGTATAGCCTGAATGCTCCTTAGAAATGAGTACGATGGTGCAGCTCACGTAAGACGAACACATTATTAGGACAGCCTACTTGACAGAGAAAAAGAGGAAGGGCCCCAACAAAAGGGGCCGACACAGTGGCTACAACAAGCTGAAACATAACAATAATTGTGGGACTGGCAGGGTTTCACGGTTGTACGTAAGGCAGAATTGACTTGACCCAGAACAGCAGCAATAGGGCCCAACAGGCCAGAGCGAAACTGCTCCATCAGGGTTCCAGGGCTGTAACCTGTCTAGAAGCAGATGGCAACATCTTTCCCCCACAGAGTGCTTGGTGGGTTCAAACTGCAGATCTGTCAGTTCACAGTGGAGCACTTAAATAACCACTGCACCGTCCGGGCTCCTGGAGCTTAGTATACAGTACTTCTCAACCTGTGGGTCGCGACCCCTTTGGGGGCCAAACGACCTTTTCACAGGGGTCGCCTGATTCAAAACAGTAGCAAAATGACAGTTATGAAGTAGCAGCGAAAATAATTTTATGGTTGGGGCGTCACAACATGAGGAACTGTATGAAAAGGTCCTGGTATTAAGAAGGTTGAGAACCACTGATATAGTAGATAGATTTAAGCCAATGTGGTAACATTCTGCTAATTTTTAAATCTGGGTGATAAGAGGAAAACGTGGACTCATCATGTACCACAACATATGCACCAGGCAATCCACTTCTAAAAAATTAAGAATTGAAAACATCATCGTGAACTATTCTACTCGGGCACACATGACATCAGTTGAATCGTCGCCTGGCTGACAGCCCAGCGACTGGTTAAGGGAAGCAGGACTCAGGGCTGGTCTGGTTGGGGTTCCTGAAGTGAGATTTGAATAGCACACCCATCCACTGCCACCCAGTGAAATCGGACTCGTGGTGCCCGGGGATTATTTGGAGATTGGGTGCTCTCTTGGGTGGGAGTGGCTTAGCATTTGAACATCTCCACCAAGGAACACCGGAAGCAGGTCTTGGGCACTATTGGTATGAAAGCAATAATCTCTCAAAGAGTGGTTGTAATAGCATTGACTTTGAGAGAAAACAACGGTTTCTATTCATTGCGTGGCTGGCTTGTGTCTCTTCCTTCTCATCAGGATGAATAGGCATGGCCGTTTTTTCTTCTTCGTCCGAGCTGGGGTTCTCGCTTTCATTGACACAGGAAGCAAATATCCCTATACCACGAAAAATAAAAACTCTATTTCTTGACATAACAAAGGAGACACGAACTCATGTTGACCTTGACTCTTTTAATTGTATGTACAATGCTTTTCTCCCTCCCTCCTCCCTTCCTGGAGACTTTTCTGTTAACGATCCGCAGGACTGGGGACCACGGGTCTTTCTTGGAGCTCGGCTCGGTCTGGTTAAATCAGGACGCATCCCTGCTTTCCCATCATCGGCATTAGGGATGGCAGAGGGGAGCAGCCTGGGGGACGCTGCGCCTCCCCTCTAACACACAGCAAAAGCAGAGTACAAAAGATGGGGCAGGAGGGCCTGAAAGACGTCTTAGCGTTCACGGCAGCTGCCTTGGGAAGGGACTCTGGGAAAGGCACGCTTCTGAAGCTGCAGTGGTCCCTTCACAGGGATGCACCTTTTGTTTGGGGACCGACTCGCGGGGTTCCCACATCTCTTCGGGAGCCATGCCGAGCTCCAGGCCCCGGAGGCCTGCGAGCTTCCCGGGAGAGGAGAGGCTGCAGCCGACCCCTGACGGCTCCGTCAGCCCCACGCACTCCCCACTACCGTCACCTGGCTCACACCCCGGCCGGCGCCGCCCCCGCGCCGCCCCCGCGCCCGTTGCCTCGGCGCGCGCGACCCACTCACCTCTCGGAGCCGCCCGGGCGGGGAGCCGGAAGGAAGTCGGCGCGGAGGCCTGTGGGAAATGTAGTCCGTCCTGGAGGCGCGGGCCGCCGGCCCGGGCTGGTGCGCGAGCGCGAGTCCGGGGACCGCGTGCGCACGGGCGGCTGTAGGGGGGCGGCAGGGGAGCCTGGGGGTGGCTGTGGGGCGCTGGCTGACGGGACTCACGTGCGTCATGTATGCAGGGGTCTGTACCTGTCGCCGAGGAACCCCCTCGTGGGCCTCGTAGAAAAGTCTAGACAGCCACGGGGGCTCCCTGGATGTACCGCCACCGCCTTCGAAGCGCGAGGGATCCGCCTGTTGGGAAGGGCCTGAACCTGCGAGTAAGCCAGGTGTGCGTGGCTGTCGGTCCTGCAGCAGAACCTTCCGCCTCGCTCAAACCCACCGCCATCGGGCAGACCCTGTGGGTGTCCCAGGCTGTAAATCTCCCCCCGAAAGCGCTGGGGTCCAACTCTAAAATCCGAATGAACCGCCTCAGACGTCACCTACCTCGCCGCCGCCGAGGTCCCTAGGAGTCGGAACCCCTCCATGGCAGTGGGACCCGCAATCAGGCCTGTCCCTGTCGCCGAGTGTGGGTAGAAGATTGGACTCAGAGATCCCGGGTGACCGAAGAGAACGTCCCCGTAAGGCTTTCTGTGCTGTCATCTTTAGGGACGAAGATGGACACACCCAAGTGGTGCGGCTCCCCGGCCCCTTTCTCTTTCTCCGGCAGTTGGGCGCCCAATGTTCTGTAAAAATCTAGTACACTATGATGATTGATAGCATCGCTCAGAAATTTTCTATCCTTACTGTTTTTTAAAAAATCTAGTTATATTAATTGCCAGAAAGTGTGGCTTTCCATTTTCACGTAAGGTTTTTTAAAAATCATTTTATTGGGGGCTCGTACAACTGTTGTCACAATCCATCCATCCATTCATTGTGTCAAGCACATTTGTATGTTTGTTGCCATCATCATTTTCAAAACATTTGCTTTCTACTTGAACCCTTGGTATCAGCTCCTCAGGGCCCCCCCCCCCATGAACCCTTGATAATTTATAAATTACTATTTTTCCATTATCTTGCCCTGTCCGACGTCTCCCTTTACCCCCTTATCTGTTGTCCATGCCCCTGGGGGGGTTATAGTAGGTCATTGTGATCGGTTCCCCCTTTGTCCCCCCACCTTACTTACCCTTACCCTCCTGTTCTCTTAAGTTTTATCAGATATTGCTTCAAGGATTTTTTTGTTTTGTTAAATATATACATTTATAATTGTTATGACTTCCTGATGATGGGGATTGAAAATTGAACATTAGGAAGAGATTTTCATAGGTCTTTCTCAGATGAGGAATTGTTGCTATTGTCCTGTCCTGAGTTGTTTAAGATTTTTTTTAAAATAAGCCCTTCAGAGACCACACCACAACATCCTCCCCTTTCCAAATATTTTGATATATTAATAGATGAAATATTTCACTTTCTAAAGAACATAAAACTTTTTAAAGAGGTGGGAGGTGTCGTCACCGATCTTCTTTAACTCTAATTGTACAGAGAGTAGCAAGACTTGACAGAGATTGATGGACTGCTACAAGAATGAACACATTTGGAGGAAATGAGCCAAAGTGCTCCTTAGAGCAAGACTTCATCTTGCTTATCTTGGACATTATATCGGGAGCGACCAACCAGTGGAGAAGGCCATCAAGCTTGGGAACGAAAAGTGGCGGTGAAAAAGAGGAATAGCCTTGGTGGGACAGACTAACATAGTGGCTCCACCCCAAAAGGACTTAAATACTGCAGTGGTTGTGAGGCTGGCCTAAAACTGGACGACATGTGGTTATGTTCTCGTCAGAATAGCTATGAGTTGGCTGTGGCGTGCTGGCACTTCACACAACAAATTTCATTCATCTATAGACCAAAACATCATGGGATAGTTTGCCTAGATTAATATTCTACATTTTGGGAAACCACCAAATGATATCCAGTGATTTGTGTTAAAAAGGACCATAATGTTTAATGCTTGCCTTTTATATTTGGGAGAAGAAATAATACTGATCACATGTTAACATTTCTCATCTTTTATATGCCCATTTCTGGCCAAGGTGAAAAGACGTTTTGGATCCTGCAACACTTAAGAAAAAAACATTTTGCAAAAAAAAGATTACATTTGCCATCTAATGTTACCATAACAGAAATGCTATGAGTGGTGTCAAAGGGCAGAATTTTATTTTCTCACAGTTCCGTAGGCTAAAGGTCAGATTAGTGTCTCAACTGCATCAATTTGTTGTCAGTATTCCCAGTGTTCCTTGGCATTCCTTGGTTTATAGACAAGTCTTACACAGCATCTTTCTTCTGCATGCATGTTCATGTGTATGTGATCTGTGAGAACTAAGACATGATTAGGTTGAGACCCATTTTACACTGGTAAGACCTTAATGGATTAATAGATTGATTAGATTACATTGCACAAGGTAATCAGCTCTGCCCAAAAGCAGCTGGCTTAATCATGGGATTAAGTTTTAAACTAGCATAAGTCCAGTGTCTTAGTTACCTGATGTTCCTATAATAGAAATATCACAAGTGGATGGCTTTAACACATAGAAATGTACCTCGTGTTCTCCCACAGTTTAGAAGTCTAGAGGGCCAAATCCGGGCTCTGGGGAAGGGCTTTATCTATCTTGGCTCTGGGGGAAGGTCTTTTTCTACGTTCAACATCTGTGGGCCCGGTGTTCCTGGGAAATGTCCGCATATCTTAGCATAAATCTTCTGCTGGGTCTAAGAGAGTCTCAGCACAAGGGCATGGCATGCACTCTGGCTCGCCTTCCTTGGTGATATAAGGTCCTTCTCTCTGGTTGCTGCTCAATCCTCTTGCCTCTGGTGTGCGGGGTGGGCAAAGCTGTTTGCTCCTTGGGCAAGTGGGACAGAACCACCACCTTGCACAGTTCAGGCAAGGCCCATGGGAAAATGCTAATGCCTCAACCTGAGGAGCTAATTATGCACGGGATGATCTGACTCTCACCTAAGATAAAATGGACACTTTCCCTCCTGTTCTTGGGAAAGCTGTTGAAACACTGCTTTCTGCAAAATATCAGTTACTCCCTGTTCTTAACTTTATCTTTCCCTCCAGTCTGTGAACAACTTGGCTAAAATATTAGTGTTTCTTTGTGTGCTCTCAGATCCTTGTCAACAATGCCTTTAAGTGGAAACTTGTCTCAAGGTGAGGCTACGTGACAAGGAGAATATATAAACCTGCCTTGAAAAAGCTCCGGACCTTGGAGTGTCCCCTGCTCCATGTGCCTCATACGCCCAACTTTGTCTCTTTGCCTTTATCTCTTAATCTGTAAGTTTTTCATGATTGTAGCTCATGCCCCTATTGAACCCATTAGTCTTGTGAGAGAGCTGGTCTCAATAATCTTACACCCCTGTTAGATAAAGTGTGAATCAAGCAAAGGTGTGCCTTGAGTAAGAGTGGTGACTAAAAGGTGAAGACCTGAGTCACACCCTTCTATAAGAGTGAGCAGATTACTTTTCTTAATGTAATTTCATGTAATGTAATCAACTCAAAATATACCCCATCTTGTCCTTGTCTCATTAACACAGAAATCAAGATAACCACACACAAAATAAAAGATAATTACATAAAGTAACAAAAAGGAGAATAACTACTACACAATGCTGGAATGGCCTAGCCAAATTGACATACTTTTTAGGGGAACACAGTTCATTCTGTGACAGCATGAGGTCATATAATTGAACCATGACAGTAACGTGTTTGGCCAAACAACTGTGCGCCTTAGACTAGTTGACACATAAAATTAACCATTATAAACATGTTTTTGAATGTACATACATAAAAACACCTGGAAAACATGCATATTTATTTATAAAAATTATTATTGATTTAATACCCATGGAATCACCACCCTGAATCTTACTCCAGTTCTAGAAAAAACTATTTTGATGACCCAGAGACCCGATCCACAATCCTTCAAATCATCCCTCCTTCCTTTCCTTTTAAATAGACTAGCTGTTTCTGACTGATGATATTTTGTGCAAAATTGTTTTATTCACATATGGATCATTTAATAAACTCCTGCTTTGTTATGCCAGAGTTGTTTCATTTCACCATGCCTACTTCATTTATACACTGAGCAAATAATCCAAAATCCTGGGCTACGAAGAAGAATGCGGCATCAGGATTGGAGGGAGGCTCATTCACTACCTGTGAAATGCAGATGACACAACCCTGTTGGCTCCAAGTGAAGAGGACCTGAAGCACTTACCGATGAATAAAATCAGTGTAGATTACACTTTGTGATAGTTACATAATTTCCTGTCAACTTGATAGGTGGAATGTAGCGGTGGAGTCTAGCCTGTCGATCAGGTCACAGCCTGATGGTACCTCCTTGTGGATGTGGTCTTCTCATCAGGAGGGTTCTGGGAACCTCCCCCCTTCCTCTCTCTGCTTTTTCCTTTCTGCTGGTGAATCACGCTGAGATCTGAGCAAGCCCTGGAGATGCTTCCACCTCCATTGTATCCACAAGACTTTTCATCCACCGGCCTGTGATCTTCCTTCATTCAACATCATTGCTTGTGGCTGTGTGAATCTGAAGAAGGATTTATGGACCGGTAACAGATTTATGGACTAGTACCAGACTTATGGACTTGATCTGGACCTGGCTGGAATGTTTTCTCAATAGACAATTACTCCTTGATATAAAGCTCTTTCTTACATATATGTGAGTGTCCCTGGATTTGTTTCTCTAATCAACTTGGTTTAACACACATGTCAGTGTAAATAGTAAAAAAAAATCTTTACAACTGGACTAATAAACATCATGTTAAACAGAGAAAAGATTGAAGATGTCAAGGATTGCATTTTGATTGCATCCACAATCAACAGTCATGGAAACAGCAGTCAAGAAATCGATTGGTATATAGCTGTATTAGTCTGGGTACTTTGGAGAAACAAATCCACAGCAACTCATGTATAAGAGAGAGTTTTATGTAAAGAAAAGGTGCATCACGAAAAC